CCGGGCAGTTCAGGTGTCCCTCCCCCCACTGCTGTGCTGCTCCTGCCGTCTGCCTTGGAGCTGCTCCCAGGAGCCTCCTGCTTGCTGTACGGGGGAGAGGGGGAAGAGGGGTGCCAATGTCAGGGTTTCCCCCTCCCCCCTGCTCCTGCCACCCATCCTGTACCTTATCTCCACAGAGCAGTGGGGGGACACGACAGGGCTCAGGATGGAGGGAGCTTGCTGGCAGCAGCTGCTGTCTCAACTTGCTGATCTACTTAAAAAGGCAATGTACTTAAAGTGGGGTCACCGTACTTAAAGGGGCAATGTATGTGTCTGTCTCCCTCACGCACACACACAGTGTGTGGCTCTGTCTCCCCTCTCTCCATTCGTGCTGCCTTATAGAGTGTGAGGCTGCATTAACAACAATGTGTTAACCCTTGAGGGCTCAGCCGAGTGCTAGTTCATCATTTAGCAGTAAGGCATTCCCTGGGAAATATCCCACCCTCTGACTTCACCACTTCAACCAAGCTTCACAATCATCATTGCTGTGTACAGTATTAAATTGTTTAAAACTTGTACTGTGTGTGTGTGTGTGTGTGTGTGTGTGTGTGTGAAAAAATAAATAAAATATAGTCTTTTGTCCGGTGAAAAAAATTTCCCTGGAATCTAATTCCACCCGTCCCCCAATTTACATTAATTCTTATGGGGAAATTGGATTCACTTAACATCGTTTAGCTTAAATAATTACAATGTTAAGCAAGGAGTTACTGTATTGTAAATACTGTAAAAAGTATTACATGCTAAATATTACAATATTCTTACTGCACATGTACACAATCTTTTTGTGGGATCTGTGTAGTATATGATGATTTGAGAAAACTTCAAAACCGTGTTAAAAAGGTGGATTAACAGTTAAGAACCTACTACAAACATCAGCAAAATATCTTTGAAATCTCAGTGAATTTGTCTAGCATCCCAACTAACAAACAATAATATGAACTGCAGAATTCTGCTTTATAGTAAAAAACAGTTGCAAGTAGCGGGGCTACTTTGCTGATGTGAATTTCAGGACACTACTTTTTGTAGCAATATCTTTATACATTTGAATACAAGTCCGCCCCCTTGTATTTTAACTACAGATTGCGAGGATGAGCTCTATTGGACATATAAAATTCTGGCTTAAAACAAGTGGATTATGCCTCAAAGATTAAAATAAATATTTTAGCATTTTCATCTCTGAGCAAAGAACAGTTCAGATTAGGTCAAATTTGGGGCTTATCTTTTAGATGTATCTGCCAATATTTTAAACACTCTCCTGCTCCTCTCTCTCCCCTCCACCCTCATTTTTTTTTTAAACTAAAGGCTTATTGTGCACATATACTGAGTCATTAAAATTTAAGCATATATCAAAGAAAGTACTACCTAATAATTGGAAGAGATGTCTGGATTAGAACAGTGGAATGGGGATGAAGCCTTTTAAGATTTAGTGCTATAAAACTGGATGAGCCCTGTCTCTCCAGATATTTAGCACAGGAACTTTTGTCAAGGAAGTGATTATAGACCTCTTCATATAGCAAACCCCCTAGAGTCCAGAGCTGGAGTACTTGCCTTGATGGAAGAGAGGTTAGGCTCTCAAACAAGGGTGGGGGGGGGGGGGAATGTAGTCTAGAGGGTTAGGGTTGAAGAGTAAGCAAGTTATGTGGTACAATCAATGAAATAATCTAGTGATGCTGCTGTTATGCTAATCCTGCAATGAAGTAACATAAAAGAGCACCAAGCCCTACAGAAGCATCGCTGTACTGAATCTGGTTGAAATGTGTTATTTAACTATAGTCAGACTAGTAGATCTTAGCGTGTGACAGATTCCCCAACCCTTCCAGTCCATAGAACACATATGGCTAAACAGAAAGTTCAAAATTCAGTCAGAATTTGCCCTGTGCTGCAGCTTCAGCAAGGAACTCCTCATACTTCAAAGGGCAGAGCTACCTGTTAGCAGTCAAGAAGCAATAGGGCACAGCTGATGCATTTTGTTCTGCTCCATGTGTGACATTAGTGCCAATTATTTAATCTAATTTGCCCTTAATCATAAACACACTTCTGATCAACCCAATCTGCTCTGAATAGTGGTGGTGGTAGAACACAGAGCTGAACAAAACTTGGCAGTTGTGGCTTGGGTAGGTGGGTCATCAAGGGTATCTAGAAGCATAGCTGGGTGGGGTGCTGCCATGATTTCTACAAATAATGGTACTGGAAGTCAGGGAGCTCATAAGCGAGCTTGGTGCAGCTGACTGTGGGAAGAAGGAGAGCACGCAGGCGCCTGAGACTAGTATCGGGCCCCTCACCTTGTGGTAGTGTGCTTCCTCCTCAAGTGCTCCTTCCTTACTGGGATGCAGCAAGGGGAACTGCAATAGAGGGGGTGCCTGGCTGCCTGTTCAGAGACAGAGTGGCCAAAACAGAACCTACAAATAAATGCTTGCAGCCTTCCCATAGCATAACCAAACATACGAGATTCAGCCTGACCTGCAGGAATGTGAGACAGGGTGCCAAATGCAATACTGCATGGAACTTGGCAGTTCTGAAAGGGACTGCTAGTGAAATACCCAGAATGGGGATTATTTTTACGATGACCAACTTCATACTTCCTTAACCTCACCAATAAATGGTATCTAACTCCACCACTACCGCACACACTTCAACAACAGTGAACCACAGACCTGGTCTACCCCATGTGAGGCTGTAAGTGTGCTCTGATTATGCCCCTTCCTACCATCAATGCACTCTCTACTCTAAGGAAGTAGGAAAGGATGGTGTAGAACTGCCTATGCCAGCCTAGGATTCCTCCATACTGAGGGAATCCTGAGCTACCCAGTTAATACATCTTTTCAGAACCTTATCCCTGGTGGCTAGAGCAGTTGCTCCAAATATTTGAATATTAGAGGGGAAAATTAAGGCTTATTAATTGATTGTAGAAGTTTTGCTTTCACTAGCAGTGTAAAATCCTTGTCTGAAAATATAAGTAAAGGTACCCAATAAACATGTCTTTTTCTGTCTCATCTACTGCGTGAATTTCTTCATTACCAAAATATCCCTTACTTTACTATGCCATGCAGATAGAATGGGAGAACTTATTTTGATATTTGTTTTGCCACCAAGAGACAGATAAGAAATATGACTACAATAGGGATTGCTAATCATGATGGCACTTCACACTGTGTATTCTGGACTGTCTGGGATACTGTACTCAGATGAATTTTATCTATAAATTCAGACTAATTGTAAACTCAGACTAATTGCTATGAATAGGGGTAACAACCATCTTTTGTGAAGGAAAACTGAGTCCCCACTCTCCCTATAATACAAGTAATTCTATCATTATAAACTTGTCTAAATTATGTTAGTTTAAAATATATAAAATATTAATGTGATTTTCCCCAACAATATTATTGTTCCTTCTATCTATAATTAATAACAGTGTCCCCAGACTGTGAGGTGTGCCCCCTCAAGGGTGTGGGGGTGTGCAGAGGAACATTTTGGGGTGGGGACATGTGTCAGGGACAAGGCCAGCCACCATGGGGGGCAGGAAGGGAGCACCACACAGCCCCACTCCACCCTCAGCCCCACTCCACCCCCAACAGCAGTTCTCTTCTGCCCCCAGCTGCAGCTCCACTCTCTGTCCTCAGGCCAGCTCCTCCTCCTTCCCAGTTCTGTCCCCAGCTCCATCTTCAGCCCAAGCTCCTCTGCTGAGCCAACTCTGCTGTAACAGACTGGGTGGTGTGGGTGAGCGGAAACAGATTCCATTACTGGTAAGGGGGGTGGGTGTGACAAGAAAAGTTTGGACACCACTACTTTAAGGAATATCCATCTTTAAATCCCTGTTTTATTTTGTGATAAAATCAGATTGCTCTTGCCTATCCACTTCCACTACAATCCTTTCGATACACTGGAATTATATTAGACCCTTACCAGTAGTTTTTTTCTTAACCAGGACCTCACATTATGCAGGTAGTCTGCTAATCTTATCTTTGTCATTTTGTGCATCTTATGTTCTAGCTCAGTATATTGGTAAAAAGGCAATGTGCAGCACCAGAATTTAATATCTAAAGACAAAAATCTTTCCTTCAAAAAGTTGCTTCAGAATACCATCAGTTGTCTGAATGACTCTGAAGTCTTTAAGGAGAACCGCATATAACAAAAAAAAAAAATTTATTTAAATGGGACATCTGAAAAGGCGAAAAAGTAACCAAAGATTTTCTTTGTATTTGTTACAATAAGTAGTTGGGACTTACATGCTTATAAATGAAGAAAAGCACCTATGCTTTATACAGAGGTGACGTGGGTTTTTAATTGTATAACTTGGTAGTTATTACTACATATCAATTTCAGAGTACTCAATGGTGTCTGAATAAGGGAGCTTGTTAAACTCTAATCTCATCGTTGTCTATAGAAATTGCTCAAGAACCGTTCAAATAAAAATTAATCCTGTAATGTTGCTAGGGTCAATAAAACCTTTAAAAGATGTGTAGGGACAGCTTTAATTATGGCACCAGCTTTATTTAAAATTATCTGAGTTTTCCAATATGACTAACCTGTTTGGACTGGACTTTTCTCACTGTTTCCTCTAAGACTCTCTTAGGTTGTGTTGCAGACCCTCCAAAAAAAACAAAAACAAAAAAACCAAAAAAAAAGCCACAACCCACAAACCAAACAAAAAACCCACAACCCTAATTGTGCCCAGTGCCAGCAGAGTATACAATACCACGACATCCAGGTCAGCAAATAAAACTGTATATTTTTGAAAGACCCTGGCTCCTCTGCTTTTCTTTAAATGTTATCAGAGGATCAGACTTTGTTTCAACAGGACATATGTTCCCCTGGAACAGACAACAAACTTAAAAATTGGACTTTTAAAATGGCAAACCATCTCCTTGTTTAATATGTATTACAAAGATATGAGATGGGCTGGATTATAAATTACTTTCCAAAATAATGAACCTAGGAAACTCACTTTAATTAAACTTTAACTACTATAAGTACTAGGAAGAAGCGGCAAAATAAAATTACAAAAGTCAATCAACTGTCATTTGCTCTAAATTATGTGATTGGTATAAAGCTAAAACACTTACTTGAAAGCCATCTTCAGCCACTTCAGCATCACTGTGCAATGGTGGACAACCTGTGGAAAAATGAAAAGGGAAAAAACAAACAACATTCGTTTTACTTCCTTCACTATATATGGCTTCAATCATTCCATCTGAACTTCCAATAACCACCTAGGATATAAAAACTGAACTAAATACATAGACCTTTAAATAAGTAGATACACTGCTTCATCATTTATGGTTACAAGCCTATCATACAGGTTCCTAATACTTCTGCTGCTCCTGTCAGCATGGTCTTCTAACTAGCTTGCAGTTCTGCTTTGCTATGTTCTTACCATGGACTATTTCTAGTCACCTACTTATTTGCTTTTCTCTCCTTGTCTTGTAAAAGCTCCCCCCCACCCCCAGAAATCTCTACCATGAATCAGAATTAAGAAAGCACTCTTTTTTGGATTAAATATTTTACAGATTTTTCAAGCATTAATATATTTTGTGCTACTCCCTCATACTAGAATCTTGCAACTCCCAGAATTATGTCTTAAGCTGCATCAATTGGTAAAAAGGCAATATGTTGCACATATCTAAAGACAAAAATATTTTCTTCAAAAAGTTACTTTGGAATACCATCAATAAGTGCACACACACAATACACAAAGATAAACATTAAAGGGAAAAAACAGTGTGTGCTCAAATGTTCACTGATTAGTCTTGCATTTTTTCCCTCAGAGCTCAACTCATGACAAGTCTTTTTAATAGAAAAAACAATTAGCATTCTGCCTTTTACTTGCATTGCTTCATGCACATAAAAAAAAAAAATCTCAGAAGGATATCTACATAGAATATTAAACTCTCCATTGTTTGACCTTCCCTTTTATACGTCTGAAAGGGACATTCCCTCCCTTTTCCATTGGCAATTTTTTTTTGCCTCCTCCCCATTTATTGTGTTTCTACCTCAAAACAGTCTTTGTTTTACTGTCCTTATGCATCAGTTTCTATGATACAAGCACAGCTCTGGGCCTTTGTGTTAATTAGGCCACGTCTACACTACCCGCCGGATCGGCGCGTAGTAGTCGATCTAACGGGAATCGATTTATCGCGTCTTGTCTAGACGCGATAAATCGATCCCCGAATCGACACCCGTACTCCACCTCGGCAGGAGAGTAAGTGGAGTTGATGGGGGAGCCGCGGTGGTTGACTTGCCGCCATGAGGACGGCCAGGTAAGTCGAACTAAGATACTTTGACTTCAGCTACGCGAATAGCGTAGTTAAAGTTGCGTACCTTAGATCGATACCCCCTGCCCCCAGTGTAGACCAGCCCTTAGACCAGAGCTTAAGATTTTTCATGAGACATTTTCCCACAGATCCTACTTAAAAATCATGCATGAAGTTACTTTGACAGCGTCATTTTAAAAAATTACTATGAACTAAGCATCTCAGCAAAGAAAGTAATCTTAAAGGTGTCTGACCATTCAGCTACATGGTTCACATGCTAAGAACATATAATTTGACATTTCCCTAGAGATACTAGTGTGGATCCATTGATATATACAAAACAGTATCAACAAATGGGAAAGATGGACTTGTAGTTAAAGCATAGGACTGGGAATTTATGGATATAGTCAAGTCAGTTCCATCGCAGGCCTCTGGCATGATCTGGGTAAGTCACTAAACCTCTCTATGCCTCGTTTTCTCATTTGTAAAATGGAGATAATGCTTCTTCATTACACAGGCATGTTTTGAGAATTAGTTCATTAGCAAAATATTAGGACCTTAGATGGAAAGCGCTAGAGAAATTCAAAGTATTATTAAACTCTCCAATCATTACAACCATAGTATATTGTGGAACAACGCAAATTTTTAAGTACTTAACAGCATTACATCAAAATACTTTTTATGGTGTCATTTCACAAGGTTAATACAGATTCGTTTAAAAAAAACAACCCCCCCCCCCAAAAAACAAAAACAAAAAAATAAACCCCAAACCAAGACATACCTTGAGAGATATCTTCTACAGCTCTACGGATGCCTCTGTCAAATGCTCGTGCATCAGCAGGACTCTGAAATGTGAGGCCAAACTTCTTGTCATCAATCTTCCAGTGGTGAAAAGTTGGGGTAACTTTGTTGTAAATGAGGTCCTTCTTTAACGTACATTCCAAAACCACCTTCCAGAAATTAAGAGGAAAAAAAATTGTAATTCTCTGAAAATATCACAAATTTGTAAAGAAAGGGTATTCAGTATACATCTTTGGAATTTTACTTGAAAAATGACTTCTTAAATACAGTTAACAAGTCCTTGTTTAATTTCTTCCCAGTACAAGCAAGCAGTTTCAATTAAGGCCAGGTCTACATTAGAAACTTTTGCCAATATAGAAATGTCATTGAGGAATGAGATTTTTCTTTAGTGACATTTTTATACCAGCAAGAGCCCTGGTGTTGGCATTATTTTCCAGCATGAAAATGCTTTTGCCAGTATAGCTTATTTTGCTCGCCAAACCAGTATAAGCTATACCAGCAAAAGCACTTTTTTTATTATTAAACAAAATCTTCCTATCACTCTGCCATTTTTCTGTTTAAAAGTTATCACACAGTAAGCTTCAGTTATATTACATTTGTTGCTAAAAAATGTCAATAGTGAACAACCTGTAACAAGGGCCTTATTATCTCATGTTTTCGCAGCACTGTTTAAATTTAAAGCACTTCATGATAAGTTGTTACATACTATTTTTTTCCTTTAACCCTGTCATAGTCTTTTCAGAATGCTAACTTCAGCATTTGTTTTGTACAACATAGTTACAAACACACATAATATAAAATCTCTTA